TTTTAAAAAGGCTTTTCTCCTGTAAATTTGGGTAAGATGGAAATTCTTGTTCTTTATGATAGGCTGGGATAGCTCCCAGATAAAAGATTATCCTGCCCAAAATATCAATAGCGCTGAGCTTGAGAGATCTGCTTTAGAAGTAAGCAGAAACATCCACGCCAGCGCAAGGAAGCATGGCCTGTGATCCACGGCGTGTGATTAAGACACAGCCAATGAACTCTGGGATTGGATTTGCCACCCACCCCCCACCCCCACTGCTTTGGAAAAGCAAAGACAGACAACACACACTCTTGGAAAACAAACCAACATGCTGACTTCAAAACTCAACAATGATAATGAGGAATCCGTTATTAAGAGTCGCCTTTGAAACTGGAAGTATCTGAACAAAGGAAGCCAGTTTTCTCGGGTTCCTTATCTCCTTACTCTGGCTGCCAGATTTTTCGAGAAAACTGTTTTGGTTTGTGTTGTTTTGATTCCCCCTGGAAAAGGGCCCCTAACTGCCCTCAAACTCTTCAGGGTGCTGGAAATGTTCAACCTTGAAAAGTGATATTAAAAAAAAAAAAATGTTGGCTTTGTCTGAGGAGCCTCAGAGGAAATTTTACTTCATTCGGGGGTAAAGAAGAAAGTGTTTCCCAGGGCTCTCTGAAATAGAAGTTTGGCAACACAAAACAAACGGATGGTTATCAAAAGCTACAAAATATTCCTACTACCACCAATTGTCTTCTGAGCAGGGAAGGGTCAGTATTAGGATACTAAGTATTAGGTTACAAGTGGAACAAATGAGACAAACTGTACCTGTCAATGCCAGTTAACTCAGTCAAAGATAATCTTATTAAGGTTTTAATCAGTAGTTTATTCCCAGTAATTTAATCTCTTATCTGAAGATTAATGGCACATAGTAGGTGCTTAAAACATATCAATCAAGGTTCCCAGGAGGTCCCTAACTCCCCATCCCGTAGTAATGCGCCCTCTCTTGACTGCTACAGCCCCAGGGACTATCCATCACCCTTTAGTGGCTGTGAGGTATCTTTTCCTGGAGCCTTGCGTTACCAGACAACTGAAAGGTGTCTTAGTTTCAATTTCCCATATAGTATCCAGAGGGTCTGGTACCCACACTAGGTTCTCAAAAAACCTTAAAATTCTTGTTTATCTTGACTCTCAGGGGCTCTATTGAATCTTTCTGCTTCCAAGATATTCCCTCCTCTCTTAAGTCCAGAGTTGAAAGCCACCTCTCACTCATACAGCAAGGACACAAGCGAGCTATCTATATTCCAGGATTGGAGTGAAAATGTTGCCAGTCTACGGGTGTCAAACAATTTGGTCAATGGCCAAAGGAAGGCATGTATACTTCATTTCACTCCTATGTTTAACCCTGATTCTCATTTCTAAGAGACAAAAATCCTGTATCTTGTATATTAATTATACTTCAATTAATAAAAAGAATCCTCTATCTCTCCACAGACAGGACATAAAGCCTTGATTGCTGGAGGACAGGAAATGCACTCTCCCTCTCTCCCTGCTCCCTTTCCCCTCCGGATTAGCCTCAGGGCTTGAGGAAGGCACAGCCCACTGCCTTTCCCTCCAAGGGGCCACCTAGCGGCTCATCCCTTCTGCCCAGGACCTGCATTCCCCCTAATCGCCTCTCACCCTCCTCCACTTCCTGCAGCCCTTGCTCAACTTCTTTCTCCAGGAAAGTACCCCCCATTCTTGCACTCCCTGAGCACCTCACCAGGGAAACTGTGGCTTCAAAGGTGAACAAGCAGGATTCTTCCTGCCCTGAGGAAGGAACCGGAACTGAAAACTATCAATTCCTATGTACAGTGGAATGACACAAATGCCACGATAGGACAAAAGCACCTGTATGATGTTTAGAAGAATGGCACTTCTGGTCTTTGGGGAATGAAGATAGAGATGAGGCTGAGGTGGGGGGTGGGGTCAGGGGGCATTCAGTATGCTGAGTCTTAAAAGGTTTCTGAAATGATCCAGAAAGAGACTGGAAACAGAGAAACCCTAGGAGGCCTCTGAAGTAACCCAGAGACCAGTTGACAAAGGTGTAGCAACAGAAAGGAAAGTCAGTGAAATGAGTCAAGGGCTCCCAGCCAGAAGAGCCAGAGGGTACTGGTGTCATTAATCTAACCAAGAGGAGCGCTAGCTGCATTTCTGGACATGCTGGGTGCGGGTGCTGCCAGCATCCAAGAGTGAATGCAGACATGGGCCAGGATGGAGTCCACTGATGTTCCCAGAGGCAGGTGAATGCAGTCAAGAGCGTGGGGCTCTAGAGCCGAACTGCATGGCTTCAATTCCCCACTCTTACAAAAAAGCTAGTGACTGTAGACAAGTTACTCTGTGCTTCAGTTCCTTACCAGTAAAACAGGGATGCTGAAAATAATTGTAGCTACTTCCTCGGGCTGTTATGAATGTTAGTGAGCTAACATAAATAAAGAACTTAAAACAGTGCCCAGTACACAGTAGATACTATTACGTGTTTGCTCTTGCATTTCAAAATGTCAATCAGCAAAAGTGAGCAAATAACTCTTAGTCTCCTCCTAATGGCACAAAAAACTGGGCTTGTCCATCAGGAGACAAGGGACCCCGATAAGGCTAATTCTGGGCAGGTGAACCTAAGCTTCCCATGCCTCAGACTACAACCCAGAATATGTAAGAAGATGGGGATTTCAGAAGAGTCCAAATCAAGGCCTTTTCAAAAGACTCTAAAATTAAACTCAAGCTTCATCCTTCTCCTAATTCTTCATTCTAGCAGCAACTTGGAAAGATGCTTCCAAAATATTCTCTCTGATTCTCTTCCTACTTCCTGTCGAATTACAGGTGGAATCAAACAGCTTGCTCACCTAAGCCAGGAGGCTTAGTCCCAGGCTCTGACACCTGGCAAGTCAAAGGCCAGACTCAATTCTGCCTCTATTGGTAATTTAGAGGAAATACACCAAAGTGTCCCCCAGACACCTCACAGGCTGAAAGGTAGCTGCAAGAACAGAAGAGAAGCCTACAAGAAAGACGATTCCACATCTCTGTGCTTAATCATCACAAGACCACAAAGTGGACAAGGCCACTGATACCATTCCCATTTCACAAGAAGAAATCGGTGGTCCAGGGATAAAGTGACTTGCTCAGGGTCCTGTGGTTAATAAACCACAAAATAGAGATTAGAACTCATATCCAGATACCCTGGCTAGTTCTCTTTCCACTCTGGGACCAAAGCGATGACCCCCATTCCAGGCCAGGAGGGTGGTACACTCCACAATTCTGGTCCCAGCCTCCTTCCTCTGGATTGGGGGAGAGGAAATTTGTAAAGGGAATTAAAATGTCCTGGGGCGATATTCACCCAACTGAGAAGACCTCCCCTGGATTAATGATCCTCCAGCTTTGTATTTTAGGACTTGCCAAGAGATGAGTCTTCCCCAAGGGTTAACTCACTTGTTGGGCAGAGAAGCCCTAAGATGTTGCCAAGATCCTGCCGGCTCACAGACACGTTCTTAAATAAACTGAATTAAAGCGCAGAGCAGAGTCACATCCCAGGTATGAGTTAGAGAGTAACAGCCGTCTGTAAGCAGAGTAAAACTCAACTAAACCAGCAGCTCTCTGCTCCCTACTCCAGTCTGAGGCTGGGTAATGTCATGCTTTCTTTTGGGGTTCATCTGCCACGCCTCTGAAAACACCAAGATGGTAACCCACCCTCCTCTCCTTTGCTCTCAGGATCCCCAGAATGGGAGTACAAGCAGGTCGCCCCACCGAAAGATAATGTCAAGACATTTTCCCAAAAATGTGGTCCCACTAAGACATAGAAATTTCAAGTATGTAATTGAGCAACGCTCGGTCATTGCCTCACGGCTCTAAACACCCTCACCCCCCCTCTCCACCCCCACCTCCCCCCCACAGCCCATTCCCTCTTCTCAAGTCCTAGCTGAGGCCCAGGGCCAGGAGCCAATCCTGAAATCCCAGGCATTTCTGAAACTCAATTCTCCCCTGAGTGAGAGCGCCTTGGGCCCAGCCCAGCCCCGCCCCCACCCCATACCCGGAGGCACCGAGAGCTGGGCTCCCGGCTGGGCCGGAGGCTCTTTCTTATGTAAATGAACTGGCCGGAGGGAGAGCTCGGGCTTGAGGGGCTGCTGAGAGCGCGGTGGGCACCGACAGGTCCGGGCCTAGGAAAGGAAAAAGCTGCTTTTGAACAAGAATCTCAAGGAAGACAGGAAAGTGTGTGTGTGTGGAGAAAGGAGGCGGAGGGTCCTCTCCGAATAACTTTTAGGAGCACCATTAGTAACCTCTGAAGTCCACCCCCGACTTGGAGGCTGGCCCCGGGAACTCAGGCGGGCCGTCCGGAGGCAGATCGGGGTGGGGGGGATCTACGCCCCTCGCGGAGCCTGAGTTCCGGACGCCTCAGTTCGGAGGAGGAGGCGCGGCGGGCGGAGTTCTTCTGCCTCTGTCCCGGCTCCTTCCCAGGTCGGCTTCTCCCCAAGCCCACCTCCGCAAGGCGGTGAGGAACGCCAAGGGGAACCGCATGTCCCCAAAACGCAGTCCCTGAGTGCAGGAGGCTCCAGGCAGCCCCACGCGGCAGCGGAGCCTCCTCCCGCAGCCACGACTCTCCCCACGTGCTTTCGCCGGAACTCGGTCTGCGAAAGAGGGGTTCCTCCCACGTGGGCCCAGCAGCCTAAGACTACGTGCCGGGTGACCAGCCCCTCCAAAAACAAAAAAAAAGCGCGAGCGCGAGCAGACTGGCAGGGAGGGAGAGAGCCGCGCGGTGCGCGAGCCCCGGAGACTCGCACGCGCGCACACGCCGGCCGGTGCCTAGCGGACGTGGCTCCTCGCGCCCAGGAGTTTCCCGGCCGCCCTGACTTTTTCTGCGTCCCCGGCCCGGAATGGGGAAGGCGCGGCTCCTCGCAGGGTCAAGCAGGTGAGTCCCGGCCGGCCACGACCCCAGAGAGAGGGCCGGGGACCACGTATCTTTGTTAGAGGAAAGCCAGCCGCCCCCGACCGCGCTTACTTACCTTCTGCACTTGGTCATGGTTGAGCTCCGTGAAGAAGTAGGCGAGCAGATGCGAGGCGATCATCCTGCCGCGGCCGGACAGCAGCGAGTTGGGAAACTGAGGCTGGAGCGCGTGCGAGGGAGGAAGGCGGCGCGATCGGACCGCTTTGTACCCGGGTTTGGCGGCGGGGCCGGGAGCGGTGAGTTCGGGCGGAACACAAAAAAAGGCTAGCGGCGATGGCGCACCTGGCTGGAGGGTCTCGGGTCTCTAGAAACAGGTGTTGAGAGTCACGACTGCTAGATAGGCGCCCAAGAATCACTCCCGGCGACGTGTGGGGTTTTCCCACCGTCAAGGCGCTAACTTCAGCCACAGGATCACTAAGGCTCTGCTTGGGAAAAACTGCAGGCCCGCTCCACTAGGGCGATCAGACCTCTCCGGCTCACACGCGGGCTGCTCTCGCCCACAGATCTCAGTTGGTGACACCGCGGTACTAGCAGTGGAAACTCCTGCGCTGGAGTTTCGTGCAACAATGTGGCTTATTGAAGGGCTGCCGGCTCGCGGGCCGCCCAGTCAGTGACGCGCACACGCCCATTGGCTGCGCGGGGAGGGTGTGTGCGGCCACGGGCCGCCCGCCGCCGCGGCGCAGCCAATCAGTGCGCACGGCCCGCGGGCGCGGCCGCTCCGACACCCGAGCCGGCAAGCTGGAGGGTAGCGCCCGGGGCGGGAGGCGGGGCCGGGCGGCAGGGATGGGACGTGTGGTCCGTGGCGAGAGGCTGGGGCGGAAAGGCGCATGAGCCAGCGCCGCGTCAGGCTAAGCTATGGGTGGGGGGCGCATGATCACAGACCTGGAGTGTGGGGCGACTGGAAAGACGGGTCACGGGACTAGCACACGCCCTGTGCGGGGAGAGAGACACCATCTGGCATCTCGGGGTCATGTGAGGGGCCCCCACTGCCAGGTCACATTTCTGAACCACCTTAATTCTCACCTATTGTGGCTCCAGGCGTTTGTGCAACGCTGTTGCAGAGTGAACCGCTGCAGCTGCTGCTTTATGTCAGGCATCGCAGAGCTGATAGGATGTCGGTTGCACTAACCTCGTTTTACAGATGAGGAAACTGAGGCACGGGGCCGTTAAGAGACTTACCCGAGGTCACACAGCTGCTAAGTGGCAGATGGAGGTAGGAACCCAGGTCCGTCTGACTTTGAGGCCCTATTCTTTTCCCTGTTATCCTATCCTGCTGCTCTAAGAACCGGGGAAGTAGGGGCAGGAAAGAAGCTTTGTCCGCAGCTGGGGGACAGATACGTTGGTGAAACTGGGTGGGTGACAAGTGTGTAACCGAATGATCCTAGACACGGGTGGGGTGGAGTGGGGTGGTTTAGAGGAGTGGGAGCCCCAGCCACAGCTAATGCCTGGCACCAGACTCTGAATTTATATATACGGTGGAAGCTGGCAAGAAGCAAATACTGATACAGCACACATGAGATTAGTGCTTGTGGAGAATAGCAAGCCTGGGGTTGGAGAGGTCTCAGTCGAGGGAAGACGAAGGTCTGCCGTGTTCTACTGAGGAGTTTCTCCTTCTCCCATAAACAGTGGGGTGCTATCTGCAATGTGGTTTTTATTATTATTATTATTATTATTATTACACAAGTAATAAATGTTCATTGTTGGAAAATAAGAATATACAAACAGAAAAACAAAAACATCCATGATCCAGCCTCTCAGCAAAACTTCTTGAAAGCTATGTACCCTTGCCAACTACACCTTCTTACCACTCCTTCCCTGAACTGCAGTCAGACTTGGGTCCCAAACTGCTTTTTTCATAATCACCATAATGACCTACATGTTGCCAAATCCTGTGTTCTCATCTCTTTTCTCCCCTTGCCTTACTCTGCCTCTCAGGGATGCACAATTGACCGCCTCCCCGATCTGGACAAGCTCCACCCTTCTGGTTTCACTCCAACCTCACTTTCCAGGCTCCTCAGCCCTGGTTTCTCTCCTGGTAAATGCTGGAGTATTCCAGGGCTGTCCTCCACCCTCTTCTGTGATCTAGTTATGCTCTGTCCGTGGGTGATCCCTCCAAGCCCACGACTGTTATATCAGCCACATGGTGATGACTCACTAATGTAAAGCCATAGCGAGGACCTCTCCCGGAACTCCAGACTTATTTCTCCAACTACCATGTGTCATCTCCGTGAAGTGACTAGCATCTCACACTTAACATGTCCAAGGCTGAACTCAACTTTTCTTTCCAAATCTATTCTTTTCCCAGTTGTCTCAGCAAATGGCATCACCGTCCACGCTAAGTCATCCTTGATTCCTTCCTGCCACTCACCAGTCAATCCATCAGTTAGCAGTGGATTTGGCCCACAAAATAGATCCTGTAATTGGCCACTTCTCTCCGTGTCCTTGGACACCTGCTAGCCAAACCACCAACAACTCAGCCAGAGCCAATGCCACATTGTCCTACCTGGCCCCCTGCTTCCATTCATGTGTACCTCCACCCTGAGCCCTATGGTCTCTTCTTCCCTCAGGGGTCAAAGTGACCTGTTTACAATATAAACCATTCTATGTCTTTCCCTGGCTCAAAGCCATTTAACAGCTTCCAATCTTAGAATAATATTCAAACTCCTGACAATGACCACTCAGTCTTTAGATGATATGGCCGCTGCCTCCCTCTCCACCCCATCACATACTACTCTCCTCGGTACACTGCTTAGCACTCTCTCTGGCATGTTTTCCTCAAAAATATCAAACTCTTTCCCACCCAAGGGCCTTTACTCTTCCTTTTTCTTCTGTTATAGTCTTCTCCAGAACTGTGTCCAGCTGACTCTTCCTTCTCATTGAGGTTTAGCTTAAATATCACTTCCTCAGAGAACTTTCCCCTGACCAGTTGATCTCAAGCAGTTCCCCAAGTCATTATCACATGCCCTGAGTGATTTCCTATTGACTTTTCTGTATATTCTTTCTATCCTCACTAGAATGTGAGCTCAAGAGGGCAGGATCGCGGCCGGCCTGTTGGCACAAGCGGTTAAGTGCGTGTGCTCTGCTTTGGCGGACTGGGGTTCGCAGGTTCCGATCCCAGGAGTGCACTGACGCACCGCTTGTCAAAGCCATGCTGTGGCAGCTTCCCATATAAAGTGGAGGAAGATGGGCAAAGATGTTAGCTCAGGGCCAACCTTCCTCAGCAACAAAAAAAAAAAAAAAGAGGAAGATTGGCATCAGATGTTAGCTCAGGGCTGATCTTCCTCACACAAAAAAAAAGAGAGGGCAGGATCTGTTGTTCCCCAATATCTGCAGGGGTTAGAACGGTGCCCGTCATGTGGTAGGCATGCAATAAATATATATTGGATAAATGATAGAAGAAATCTTACAGATAACCATTGTTCACATTTTGTATAACAATATACACACACACATACAGAGAGAGACAGAGTTTATAGTTTTATATACTATTTCTCAAGTCTTTTCCCTCCTCTCTATCTATCTCAGTTCACACACCCAACATCTCTCACCTGATTGCACCTCCTCATAACTGGGCTTCCCTCTTTAGAGATAGAACACCGTAGATATATAGGTTTAGATATCCAACATAGTTTCTTAGAGAATTAATATGATCAAATTTCCCTTTTTTTTTTTTTTTTTTTGAGAAAGATTAGCCCCGAGCTAACATCTGTTGCCAATCCTCCTCTTTTTTTGCTGAGGAAGATTGGCCCTGGGCTAACATCTGTGCCCATCTTCCTCTACTTTATATGGGACGCCACCACAGCATGGCTTTGATAAGTGGTGCATAGGTGCCCGGGATCTGAACCTGCGAACTTCGGGTCGCCGAAGCAGAGCACATGAACTTAACTGCTACGGCACCGGCCAGCCCCTCAAATTTGCCTTTTTAGGGCAATAACTGCCCTCTGTGTAGATAGGGGGGAGGAGGTCAGAGGCCAAAGGCAGAAAGAGGCCGAAGCTGGATCAGGGCCTGAACCAAGGAGAGGGTGGGACAGGGAGCCAGGCTATGGGTTCAGATGTTTTAAAGGTGAGGTAGAATTGATGGCTTTGGCTAGGAGTGGGAGATGAAGAGGAGGATGCCTGCTGCCTAGAAATATTTGGAAACCCAATAGTCCACTGCTACAAAACCTGTTGGCCTCAGACAGGTGGGACCCAACCCAGTGGGTCATGTCAGCTATGATCCCTTCTCCACACAGCACTTTTAGAGCGTCTTTTCCACTTCCTTCTCTGGTCCCATTTCATGTGGACCAGATAACAATCACAACGCACTTTAAGTCCATGTTATCTCTGACAAAGCTCCCAATCCCAGGAGGTGGTTGGAGTAGGTACTGTTATAAGCCAGAATACATGACAAACTAAGTGTGGGTTACTCGTACAAGGCTGATGCTTGTGTCTTCGACTTTTCTGGCTCCAGACTGCATGCCTGGAGTTTATTATTTATTGATTCTCAGATCTCTCTCTCTCAATCTCTTGCCCTCTCCTTCTCCCTCCCTCTCTCTCTCTCTTTCACACACACTCGCGCGCGCACACACACACACAAATCTTGAAGAGTGATGAGACATCCATGTAATTTATGCTCCACAGCCCAAGAGAGAAATCAATCAGCAAATATTTATTAAACAAATCCTTACAAAGTTCAGGACAGTCTGCTCAGTGCTGTGAGAGATACAAAAGAAACACAAGATGTGGTTCTTGTCCCTGAAGGATTAACTGTTTAATCAGAGATATAAAACCAACATATAAAACAATTATTACAGAATGGAAAAGTCTATCATTGAGAGCCAGACGTGTGTGTGTCTTTACATGTGATGGAGTTTGGGAGGAAGAAGAGACAGAGCCATAGGCCAGAGGTCAGCCAAAGGTGGCAAATGTTCCTTTTTCTAATTAGGTGGTAAATATTAGAAAAAGGCAAATATTCCTTTTTCTAATTAGGACTGATGATGTTTGCAGCATGTCATAAGTGATAGGATTACATAGAGGATGTTAAAACTTAGGGTGGGCCTGCCCTAACTGTAAATACTTAGGACTCCTTGCATTGTGTTGTCTTTAATATTGGGCCCTAATGATTGCCATAATCTCTTGTGTTTCTTAGTTTAGTTATAATGTATGAAGACGGGGGGGATTGAGAAAGAAAGGCATTGGAAAGCAATTAAAATAGAAAACTGCAAGCCACAGGATACACAGCAATCTCATTTTATCTGTCAGATCTGCAAACAGAGCCCATTCAAACTAGTTTAAGCAGAAAAGGAGTTTACTGAAGAACATTTAATCCCTTTCAGGATTTTCAGGTGGGCCAGAGAATCAGGCATGGAGGCTAGCCATTTAAGAGTGATGCTCAAGTTATATCATCAAACACCACTCGTGGAAATGCTATTGCTACAGCCACTGGGCTCGGGCATCTTGGCCCATACTCCTAATGCTGGACACAGGATTTTACAGCTAGACATGCCACAGCCACCTTTGACAGTGAATGTCTGTCTCTCAGCATCCTTGCTATAGAAGGATTCTGCACAGTTCCTCCTTCTTTACGGTATTTGCTTGCAACT